ATGGATGTGAGAGCTGGACCATAAAGAAGGCTGAGTGCGAAAGAATTGATGCTTTTGACCTGTGGTGTTGGAGAAGACTCTTGAGAGTCCCTTGGACTGCAAGGAGATCCAACCAGTCCATCCTAAAGGAGATCAACCCTCAATATTCATTGGAAGGACTGATGCTGAAGCTGAAACTCCAATACTTTGGCCACCTGATGCAAAGGACTGACTCATTGGAAAAGACCCTGATGCTGGGAAAGATTGAAGGCAGGAGGAGAAGGGAACAACAGAGGATGAGATGGTTGGATGGCATCTCTGACTCAATGGACATGAGTTTGAGGAAACTCCGGGAGATGGTGAAGGACAGGGAAGCCCAACATGCTGCAGTTCATGGGGTCGCAAAGACCTGGACATGACTTAGCTGAACAACGACGACGATATGTTATTAAAAATCATTTCACCTATTTCTCTCTTCTGTGGCTTCGAAACGTTTAGAGACCTCGGTGGGGACACTGCATCTCTGGCGCACAGGGCCGCCCTGAGACCTTGTGGATGCCCGTCTGTCAGCAGCGCATGACCTGGGTCCAGGCCTGGGGGCATCACAGGGCCCTGTGCCCTTGTCCCCTGTGGGCCCCGTCGTGCAGTGACACTGGGCTCTTCTCTGGGAATATGATCTCTCTCGAGTGACGTGTTACCACGTTGTTCAAACTCGAGACGAAGCATCTCTGACTGTCCTTTTCCTGTGCTGCCCTTCAGGATGTCCATCAGACATCGTCAGGGCATCTCGTTGCCATGGTCACGGTTAAATGCCTCTCTTCAAGGAGTGAGGCCTAATGATGCAGCCTGTTACATCCCACAAAATATCAGGACTTTCATCAGATTAAATTGTTTTTCTTGTTACTTGTTAGAATTTCCCTTAACCCACCATCTCTATAGATTTTTTTTTTATTCTTTTATATACTCCATGCTGAAGATTTATTACAAGTACAAATAAAAACATGTTTCTAATCCTGTTTTTCAACGATAAACCATCTGGATTTGTTATGGCTGAAGAACTTCATGAATTGCATTCCTAACCCTGTTTGGCTCATATCAGTCTCTGATGAAAAATAATAAGTCAACTTCTTAGGACTTTGGGGTATTCATGGGGCTTTGCAGCACGTTTTTATTTTGATCCTTGCCTTGTTTATGCTTTATTAGAAGAAAAACTTATGCTGCAACACGTATTATTTCTGTATGAAAACTACTCTGGAAAGCTCTTTCTTTCTGTGTGTTTTCTGAATGGTGATGCTTAAAGTCTTTAAACATCATTTTAAAGATAATCGCGCCATTTTAATCTATGAGTTACCACAATCCATTATTCAGATCTGAAAGTGTAACTGTGACGGGGCAGAGAAGGTCATTGGTTTGTTTCATGCAGTGCAGAGGAAACCAAGCTGCCCCTGTGGTCGGTCGCATCCTAAAGAAATAGGAGCCCGGCCCGGCAGAGGCACTGAAAAGTGCTCTTATTCTTTCCTGCGGCAGAGGAGGCAGAGGGCCCCGGGCCCGTGACGCAGAGCTGGCATCCGGATCCAGAGGCACCTCTCCACCCTCCGCCCTCTTGGGCCCAGACTATGCTCTGCATGTCACCTCCGCTGAGCACCCCCTGCCCACCTCTCCCTCTTCTGGACCAACGCTGCTCCCCAGGCCAGGTGCTCTTGAGTTCACACAGACGCTGGGCATCTTTAGGCCGGGGAGGTGGGGGAGGTCTGTGAAAACCTGCAAAGGAGCTTTTCTAGTCTCTGTTTCATATCATTATGCTTAGATTTTTTTTTTAATTGGTAAACATAAATAGGCCACCTGTAACATGCAAAACATAAATTCCATTATAGCAGATTGAACTGCTAAATATTTTACTGATGTCAAGGCCCTGACTAATGTTGAGAGGTTTTTGTGGTTTCTGTTTTTTTAAGACCATCCCATCCGGCTTGACCATCTACCTAATTATCACAAATCCAGTCTGGCCAAAGACCCTGGGGAAAGGCTTGACCACGTTACCACCTTGCCTGTCACAAAGCCCCAGGGCCTGACGACCTTTAAGTGTGTGTGTGCAGCTCAGCGACATGACCGAGTGAGCTGCACCGTCACGCCGCTTGTACTAACATTTTCACGTTTCTCTTTTGCGTATTTCCAGTAGTAATAGAATTGCTACCTCTTAAGAGGCCAAAACTGCGTTTATTCCAGCAGCACCGCCAGCGCCTGTGTGAGACACCATGGTGCTTCTTGAGCATCGACACGCTGGCTTCACACAGGCTGCCCTTCATTTCAGCCCTGGTTGCGACTTTGTATCCCAAAGGGGAGGGAGGGAGGCTGTGCCCTCCTGTTGGGCCACTTTGGACACGGGGCTCCTGACCCCAGCCTTTAGGTCTCGCTGATGCCTGCCAGGTCAGGCGCAGGGGTGCGGTGGGGAGAGAGGCACCCTAGGGGCGCACACAGGCCCCCTAAAACGTCAGGGTCCAGTGCAGCTGCCCCATGTGGCCTCGCGGCCGGCCTTCCAGCAGGAAGGGCTGCTGGGGAGGCTGGGTGAGCAGGGCCGTTCTGCGCCGGCCCGGCCAGCGTCCTCACCTCCCCAGCCTCAGCTTTCCGACGCGGCCGGAGCCCCAGCCCTGCAGGGCTGTGCTGGGAATGAGGTGAGCGGGGGCGTGTGCCTGGCGGCTGGCGTGGGGTGAGCATTGAGTAAGGTGGTTTTATAAATATTTCACTCCATTTTGATCCACATTGCAATTTTCCTCGCATTCACGGCCTCTCAGCAGTTCCTAATATTTCTCTTTGCCAGACAGAGTTCACATCCGCGAGCCCCGGGACTCAGACGTTCGGCCACAAGCCCATCTTCCTGTGGGTGGTAGCGCCTGGTTTTTCGTGACAGTCCATTTGCTCTAGATTCAGATTTTATTGGTCCTGACACAGACCTTGACGGAGACTATTACGAGATTAAGGCTTGGAGCATCTTCAGCCTCTGGTGAGGTGAAGACTGCCTCACTGTCCCACTCACGACAGCCAAGCTTGAAATGACGGAGATCACACTTGGTTCTGTGGGTCCAGAAACAGCGACCCTAGAACACGCTCAGGTGTGGGTGTTTTGTTTTATCCTTCTTGCTCTTTAAATATATGTAACTAGGTCTTTTGCCAGAAATTTCTTTGGGGCTAAGTTGGAGTAAGAAAATAAATGGAAGAGTTGGACCCAGTTCTGTGAGTCTGAACTCCACCAGGCCAAATTCCCCTTCCTTCCATGCAGTTTCAATAGAATGCCATTGAATTAATTTTACTCATAATAAAATCGGCTGTATTTCAGGCCTGCAGCCCTGGGGCCTTCTGATCCAAGCACAACAGCCTGTGCTGCGCCTCCTGTTGACCTTGGCGGCGATGGGTGGGGATGGGATCGTGTTTGAAGTTGGCCCCTTCCACCCTGCTCATCAATATTTCAGGACAGCTGGGGTTCTCTGAAAATCAACTTTTGCCAAAAAAAAAAAAAAAATGCTGGTTTGAGAGGATTGTGCTACTCCTAAATTATTATTCCTACAATACTATAAAATTGTAAAAGGCTCCATAAACCGTTAAGAGTATGGGAAGCTGGTGACTCGCCTTTTAGGACTGAGTTTGGAGGAGAGGCCGCTGTGGCCAGCAGGTCCGTTCCAGGGACGTCCGCAGCAGGCCATGTTCCCCGAGCCGGCGGGGCGGCTGTGTCTCACACGGTGGCCTGGGCTGGGCTGAGCGTGGCCGGGGACAGCAGGGAACAGGGGACGGGGCTGCTCAGACCCCCGTGGAAGGACCGGGAAGGGCGGCTCCCTCCTGGGGCCCTGGCGCCGTGAGGGTCCCCTGAACACAGCCTGGAGCCTCCTGCTGCAGCGGGGCATCCCACACCCCCCACAGAGCGGGGCCTCCCACCTGGGGCCAGGCTGCCGAGCCCGGGGGTCTGACCACACCGGCAGGCGTGTCCGAGAGAGAAGTCCTCTTCCCGCAGGGTGTGGGTAGTGAGATATGAAGGAAGGAAAGCTGGTTTAGTTTTTAATATCTGAAATGTGGTCTCTCAATTGGATGGTTTTAATTTATACACGAAGCACATGCTGCTGCGTCATCACGTGCGCGGTGCGTCTGACTGCCACGTGGACGTGGACTGGTAAATTTCGGGGTGCATTCATGGACTGGTAAATCTCAGGGTGCATTCATGGACTGGTAAATTTCAGGGTGCCGTTCATCCACTGGTAAATATCGGGGTGCCAATCAGCATGTCTGACCTCTGAGTGGATGTGGACTGGTAACACTTGGGGTGCCATTCATGTATGGTAAATCTCGAGGTACATTCATGGACTGGTAAATCTCGGGGTGCCAGTCAGCACCCCAGTTAGAAAGGAGCATGCCCTCAACGTGGAATAAGGCAGGACAGCAGGGCAGGTCTTTGTCTGGGCCTCCTGTCACTCAGGCGCTGCAGCTGCTGTTGGGACGTGTGACGGGAACCTGGGCTGACGGGGCCTGGGATGATGGGGCCTGGGGTGACGGAGGCCCAGGCAGGTGCCTGCTGGCCGAGCTGGCCCTCACAGGAGAGGACGTGGGCAGAGAGATGGGAGGCTGCCCGCTGCCGCGTCTGGAATCCAGCATGAGGGTGGAGAGCCGCCCCGGCCCTGCAGCCGGGACAGGGGCCGGGCTGGGCACTGTCCGGGCGACGGCTCAGCTCCTGGTTCCCTGGGGGGCGCTGAGTGTTACCCAAGATTGGGGTCGGGGGGCACAGACCTTTCTGCCCCTGCCCAAGGCCAGTGCAGACGCCCCCAGGGAGCTTGGGACTGGAGGCAGGTGTGGCTGCTGTGAGTCTCGTCCGCGTGTCCCCCAGGCTGAGTGCTGACACCTGGCCCTCACGAGACCCCAGGGCCACCCCGGGTCTGCCCCTCACCGAACGGACAGGACCCTGGGCCCCCGAGGAGGGAGGGTCACACATCACAGGGGGCAGGAGTGATTACTGAGAAATAGGGCTCTTTCTTGTGTCCTCAGAGGCGGGCCCCAGAAAGCCCCTTCCCGCCCGTGTCGGCCACCGGCAGGGACGCGTTCGGCTGCCCTCTGCTCCTCTGGGTCCGTCCGGCTGCACAGGGGTGGGTGGTGTGCAGCTGGGTCCTTCGGGGAGAAGGTCCTCAGGAGTGGACCTCGGAGCTGGAGTGAGCAGGCAAGAGGCTCTGGTCAGCCTAGCCCCCGTGGCCCGGTGAAGCTTCTTCCCTCTGTCGCCTCGGGGGGCGCGGGACCAGCTGCCTGTACCGGTGCCAAGGGTGGCTCTTCTGTGGGGCCGGGGCATCTCCGAGACACCTGCCGCCCCAGGACACCATCCCCACGGACCGGACAGCATCCCCAGGAGCAGCAGGTGCCCCGTCTCTCCTGGAAGTCGTGGCCGGGTCCCGGGCTCCATCCCAGTTCTGGGCTTCCCAGGTCACTCCTGGCTCATCAGGCCCTCTCAGAAGGGCTCAGGAAAGAGGGTCTGGCAGCAGCGTCCCAGACTGCAGCCCAGCGACACACGGACGCGCCCGGAGGCAGCTCCAGAGCAGGGCTCGGCTGGGGGGGTGGGGACATGGGGGCCACAGTGTGGGGAGGGGGTCTGGGGGGAGGGGGCGTGGGGGCCGCAGTGGGGGGATGTGGACGGGGAGGGGGTCTGGGTGGGGACGGGGCCTGGGTGGGGTGGGGGCGTGGGGGCCGCAGTGTGGGGAGGGGGTTCTGGGGGGAGGGGGCGTGGGGGCCGCAGTGGGGGGCTGTGTGGATGGGGAGGGGGCCTGGAGGGAGGGGGCGTGGGGGCCGCAGTGTGGGGGGGTGTGGATGGGGAGGGGGTCTGGGTGGGGACGGGGCCTGGGTGGGGTGGGGGCGTGGGGGCTGCAGTGTGGGGAGGGGGGTCTGAGGGGAGGGCCGTGGGGGCCGCAGTGCCGCGGGGGTCTGAGTAGGGGACACCTCGCCTAAGGTTTCCATCACTGGCATCACGAATCTGGGCTGAAGCGCTACTGGCCGAGGCCGCCAGGGACGCGGGCAGAGCAGGGCCGCCTGGCCCATGAGCAGTGCCACCTGGTCAGGGAGCAGCCTGGCAGCCGCGGCAACCCCACCAAAAAGTCCAGGCCTCTGAAGGGCCAGGCGGCAGAAGGAAACTGGGAGGGCCGGGGGTGCTGGGGTTGGAGAGACACTCTCAGGCCTTTTCTGCCTCAAAGGGAGAGAAACGAGAGTGTCTGAGAGGCCGGGCCTGGCTGCGGCTGCGCGCCCAGGGCTGAAGTGCGGGCGTCAGCAGGCTTTTTCCTGGCTGGCAGGAAGGGAAAGTTCCCTCCAGTGACAGACAGAAGTAATGGATCTGGGGCGCGCCGTGGCCTTCGGAGGTTACGGTGAAAATTAATGGAGGCCACGTTTACTAATGTTGCTCTAATCCTGCAGTTTGGGGCATTGGGCTGAGTTTCTGTTTTATGGCATGTTTTACAAACTAACCTATTTGAGATGCTGGAACAGCCAGGCTGGAGTGAGTTCCAGGTCAGGAAGCATGCCCCTCCCCTCGGAATCCAGCGCCCTGGCCACTGGGCGCGGGCCGCCCGGCCCTGCCCGCTGCCCCGGGCCCGCGCGGCGGCCCGTTTATCTTCCAGGTGTCACAGTAGCGGCCGCGGCCGTTGCTCCGTCCCGCTGAACGGGCAATTATCTGCCTTGTCACTTGTGCCTCTGCTCTTTTGACCTGGGGGTCACAGAGGCCCGGCTGTAACTGAATCCAGCAGAACTATTCCCTTACCTGTCATATAAATAGTCGTCCTGGCAAAATGAGGCCCACGGGGGCTTTTCGGGAGGTGTTGAGAAGGCCAGTCTAACTTGAGCCTTTATTCGCTCTGTAAGGAATGCAGCACTGTTTTGGCACTCTATCAAAATAAAACAAAGTTCCATTTTTCAGCTTCTTTTTTAAAGTGTGCACCCCTGAGCTCACAAATGCTTCTTTGTGGCCCTCTTTACTGAAATTTCCATTCAGCTCTTCCATCTGTTAGCTGTGTTTACCACTATTTCTAGGGAAAGAATTCAGCATTTCACCTTTATTTGGGGTGTAAGGTCATAAAACTGTCTGGATTATTTCAGCTATATTTATACCAAACTTAATATTGCTTCTTTAACAGGTTTAAAGCTTTTAATTCCCAGGTTCATTATTCACGGTGAGCTGCCTGAAGAGACCAGTTTGTGTTTTAAATGAGGAAGGCGTTCTGTACCTTCTTGCTGTCTCTGCCCGCCCCCCTCCCTGAGAGCATGCTCGCTGTGACCTCTACCCGGGGAGCCCCTAACTCAGCTGGAGCTCAGCTCCAGTCCCCCACCACGGGGTTGCCAACAACACGCAGCGTTCCGGGAGCACACACTTGCTCCATGTGTCCCTTTTTGTAGAAATAATCAGTTACTGTGATCTTAGAAAAGCCCTAAGACTGGGGGTGTAACACCCACTGGTGAGGTGAGGTCTCCCAGGCAGAGTTGATACATATGCGTATCTGTGGGTATGCCTATGTATGTCTGCGCACGTGTGCATGTATGTGTATGTGTAGATGTGCGTGTGTGTACATGCAAATTTCGCAAAACTTGGCAACTTCAACTTCAGTCAGCAGTAAGTTTGGAGCTGTGTCAAAAAGACATATAGAAATAATATAAAATAAAAATGCACGCAGGTGATTTTTCCGCCTAGAATTGCCACATCGGTATTTTTGATGTTTCCCTGTTTCCCCTGTAGCCTGGGCTGCAGGAAGCAGGTGGAAAGGTGGGCAGACAGCAGGCCGATAAGGGTTCCCAAGGGGTTAGCCCAGGACGTCCTGACCTCACCTCTGCTTTCATTTAGGAGTGGAGCAGGCTGTGCGGATGCGCTGAGGGACGTGGTGTGGACAGTGACATGGGGCCTGATGGGTGCTCACGGGGAGTGTGGACAGTGACACGGGGCCTGGTGGGCGCTCACGGGGGGTGTGGACAGTGACACGGGGCCTGGTGGGCGCTCACGGGGGTGTGGACAGTGACACGGGGCCTGGTGGGCGCTCACGGGGGTGTGGACAGTGACACGGGGCCTGGTGGGCGCTCACGGGGGTGTGGACAGTGACACGGGGCCTGGTGGGCGCTCACGGTGGGTGTGGAAGTGACACGGGGCCTGGTGGGTGCTCACGGGGGGTGTGGACAGTGACACGGGGCCTGGGGGTTGCTCACGGGGGTGTGGACAGTGACACGGGGCCTGGTGGGCGCTCACGGAGGGTGTGGACAGACACGGGCCCTGGTGGGTGCTCACCAGTGACAGGCTTCATTACCATCAGGCCAGCATGGCAGGGGGCGCCTGACCCCGGGTCTGAGTGCTGCTTCACAAGGTGAGCGTCTGACACCTGTCTGGGGACCACCCAGCCATGTTCTATGCGGCTGCTTCCCTGAGTCCCCGACCCGGGAGTCCTTGCTGGAGAAGAGCATCTGTCTTCACCCTTTCTTGGATCATTTCCTGTGATAACAGGCTCCCGGATGAGGGTGAGGGGAGTGGAAGTTGAGTCTCCAGGTAGAAAAGAACCAGAGTGACACTCAGGGCATTTAGGTCAGCGCAGTCTGCAATCCGTCCGTCAGAGCTGGAGCCCGAGAGCCAGCTGACTCCAGGTGACACCACGGCCACAGGCTGCTCTTGAGAGCCAGAGCCAGGACCGAGACCGCTCAGCACCTCGCTGGCCGAGAGACCCATGCCTGCAGCGGCACCTCAAACTGCAGTGGGCGTCCACCTGTTTTAATGAAAGGGGCTTGGAGAAGGGCCACCACTGCCTGTGACGTCCAGACTCAGGAAACAGAGAAATGGTGCTTCTTCATGGCCTCAGTGATTGTGTCTTCTTGGTCCTGACAAGTTGTCGAGTCCAGACTGTGCCCAGTGGTCAGTTCACAGTTGGATGGAGCTTCTGGGCCTCTTTGTGCGGCCGTTCGCCTCCCTGACTGTCCCTGCGGTCCCAGGACCGAGGCAGCACAAAGGCCCTCACGCCTCTGGCAAGGGAGGCAGGGAAGCCCATACGCTGCGTCCCACGGCCTCCCAGGCCTCCTTTCCTATTTCACAATAAACACAGAAGGGCTTCCCAGGCGGCCCTAGTAGTAAAGAACCCTCCTGCAGTGCAGGAGACAGAAAAGTTGCAGGTTCAATCCCTGAGTCAGGAAGGTTCCCCTGGAGAAGGAAATGGCAGCCCAAGCCAGTATTCTTGCCTGGAGAATCCCATGAAGAGAGGAGCCTGGCGGGCTACAGTTCATGGGGTTACAAAGAGTCGCACACAACTGAAGTGACTTAGCACATACGCATAAAGACAGGAAAGAGTAAAATTCACTTTAGAAAGTTGAAAAAATTTGAAGAAAAAAATGCCAACCCTTAAAAACCACCATCTATCTTTGAAAACTGTATCAGAGCATCTGTCTCCTGGAGAAACCTTGACTCGTCAGCAACATGAGTTTCTAGAGGAAGGAATAACAGGCTGTTCTGTCCTCTCATCCCGGGCCGCAGGACGCTGCCTCCCCATCCCTGGGTCCTGGGCTGGCAGGGCGTCTGGCCGGTCCTGGGGCCCCATGTGCGCCAATGCCAACGTGACGGCTGGGTCGGGTGCGCCGACGTCATGTGGCCGGTCCGGGGGGGGGGGGGGGCGTGTGCACCGGCGTATCCCTGGCGGGGTTGGGGGCTGTATGTGCATGTCAGCAGAATTCACCTCCTCTCTTGATGGATTGAGTCCCTGAGCTACTTTATTTATTTCCATAATCACATTAGGTGTTACATTAATGAAGTAGTTCTCTCCAGAAGATCTGTCCTTCAGAAAAAGCCAGAGACGGATGCCCTTCGAGTGGACACCCCCAGGACTGGCAGCCGTCTGTCCGCTTCCTGAAACGCTGTGCCCCTGACCTGGGCCCGCCTTCAGCTCTGATGCCAGGGTCCCCGCCCGCGGTGGGGCACATGGAGGACCTCCCTCGGCTCTGGAACTCTGCACGTGTGCGATCCCGTCTCAGCGGCTGGTGAAGATGTCTGTGGTGATGACGCAGGAAAACCCACTTCTTCATAAGCACAAAGGAAGGCTTTGGAAGAAGCGTTTCCCTTTTCAGCGTGGGTCAAGTGCTTTCTGCCCTGACGGGAGTTGCTGGGCTTCCTGAACTGACTCTCGGCACATGTGTTTTCAATGTGAGCCGCAGGCTGAAACATCTTTGCTCGACTTCTGGGGAGGCAGCAGGACAGCCTGTGTTCCCGCCCATGTGCGGCTGTGTCCGCACACAGTCATCACGGGGGCGCTGATGGGCCCTAATCCGCTCTCACAGCCTAGTGAGAGATTGCATCGCGCCTGGTTGTGGCGGCGTCTGAAAAGGCTCCGCACCTGCGGAGAGATGCGCCTGCCTGTCCAGCTCTTGGGCTCTAGCGCGTTATCTCACCTCCGCTCGTTATCTGGTGTCTTCCTTGTCAGCAGAAAGCCCCCGCGACAGACGCTGAGCGCCAGGGACGTGACGGGGAGGTTGCTCTGTGACACCCGAGTGAAGAGGCACAAGCCGAACGGACAGTCGCCTTCTAGTCGGGGCTAGATTCCACAGCCGCGTCTCGCTCACAGCGCAGCTCAGAGCAGACCCCAGGAAGCTGCGTCCTCCTGTTTGTGACTCGTGTATTCATAAGGCCTCGTCTCCGATGTATCCAGGGCCTTTTGGAAATTTTGCAGGAAATAATCATGGCCGTGACTCTCTCCTCTCAAGATTTCCTTTCATTAATCTGTATGTTACTCTAGTGTTGATTTTTTAATCATTGTAGGCATTTCTGTGCTTTAAATTGAAGCCACTATACAGAAACAGTCTCATTTCTATTCTTCATAAACGTATGTCCAATGGTTTGAGCTTTTGACCTGATCATAACTGTTTGAACTCCTAGATACAGATAAACTGTGGATTTGATACTTCATAAGAACCACCTGCACCCTTTTATGTTAAAATCTAAGTCCATTACAAGGAGACTAAAATCTTGACACTTTTGGAATAAGAGGTAACTACCCCGATGAAATTTGTCTCCTATACTCTCTCAAGAGGGACTGCCCACTTAGAATTCACACATCAGGGACTTTCCTGGTGGCCCAGTGACTAAGACTCCACGCTCCCAAAGAAAGGGTCCCAGGTTCAATCCCTGGTCAGGGAACTAGATCCTGCATTCCACAACTGAAGAAGAAGAAAAAAAAACCACCAAGTGCTGCAACTAAGACCTGGAGCAGCCAAATAAATAAATATTTTAAAAAAACTCACACGTCAGACTTCGTGAGCTGAGACCTGGGCCAGACCCCAGCAGCATGAGCTGCTGACTACAGGGTCTCTGTCCACAGCTGACTGCCCCCGAGTACAGGGTCGCTCTCCTGCCGTGAATCTGCGACACAGTCGCCCAGCCGGCCGAGCCGTAGGCTCACTCTTCATCTGCGTGACGGCGCTTGTGCTCCGGAGGCCCCCAGAAGCCTTCTGTGAGGTGGTTTTAGTGCAAATATGGAGAAAGGGACACAGAGGACCAGACGGTCGGATGGCATGACCGACTCGATGGACATAAGTTTGAGTAAACTCTGGGAGATTTTGAAGGACAGGGAAGCCTGACGTGCTGCAGTCCACGGGGCTGCAAAGAGTTGGACACGACTGAGCAACTGAACAACAGAAACAAAAAAAAGTGATGCCCCAAGTCTGGCTCTGCGTAGCCCTAAACGCTCAGAGCCACAGAACGTCTTTAACCACCAGCTCCTTAAAAGCACAGAATTCTAGCTGCGGAATTATTACTTCATTAGATGCTAATACTGTCCAAGGGCCACCGTCACTGTTGAGAAACTCCTTCGCTAACCCAAATAACTCCTGTTTTCTCTCAAAGGTGCGCTTATCTTGAAGCCGAAAAAGCAGATCTTCAGTGCTTTCTGTAAAGTGTCACGTCCTTGCTCTGTGGCTCTCACTGAGCTCCCGCCTCCCAGAGGGCGGCTGAGCCCCGCCCCGGTGCTTCCTGCTCTCGGGTAGGGGGCGTGGCTCTGCCGTTTGCCAAGAAGGCCCAGCTAGTGATGGTCAGAGTGTCCCCACGGGGTCTCTTTACCTTACATTTTGCCCTGCAATGTGCATCCCAGCTTAAACATATGAATATCAAGCAGAAACATAGAAGCACTGTTTTCAATAAAAAACCCCCCTTCTAGAAACCAGTTGCTGACAAGCTGCACTTGCAGAGAAGTTGAGATGAAATAGCAAATATTTGCATCTTTTTATTTTCAGCTTTCTCTCCGGGATCACAATAATCTTTGGCTGGTTCTCCCCTCATCAGTCTTTCCCCACAGTCACTGGCCTGTTTTCAAAGTTCTTACAAATGAACTCGGTGCCGGACGGCCCTTCAGGATGCCGGACAGGCGACCTTGCACGTGGGGGCTTGTCCTGTGACCCCCAGCAAGGCCGCTGTCCAGGGTCTCTTTAGAGCTGCTGCATTTGAGAGCTAAACATAATCTGAAAAGCGTTTATTAACCACCTCTGAGGACACAGTCCCAGTGGTCACACACTGAGATCCTGTGAAGGCCTCTTCGGTATGGAAAGGCATCTTCTCTTATTGCCCCGCAGACGCGGAAGGTTCTTTTCTCCCTGGTGGTGAAATGAGAGAACTGGGGGACATTATCCGCCAGACCTGCTCTGCATACACTCAGATGCCCCCCATGCATGAGGGTGGGATTCCACTCTCTCCTCGGCTTATCCCTTCCTGCCCTACCCTCAGGATTAGAGAGAGAGAGAGTGTTGGCTTTGGCCGTGATCTCCAGATTGGTGTCCTTGTCCGCTTTATTTCCTTTGGAGCAGTGATTGACCGCCGCTGAGACGCCGAAGCAGAGCTGTCCATGGGCCTCACCCACCCTCTTCTGGTCCGGTGGCCTGCCCTCGGAGGACCACAGGCTGTGCCGGGCGTCGGGGCACCACTCTGCCAATCGCCCACTTCTTTCCTGTGCTCCCCATTTCCTTGAGACTGGTTGCCTCCTGGTTATATGTTCACACCCCCAGATAGGGCTTCTCCTTTTCCTTTTCTTGAACATCTGCAGTACTGAGAGCTCATGCTGGACCCATGGGTGCTGGTGATGCAGGATGCGTTGCTGGCTGGATGACTGGACATCTCCTTCGGGCCATTTCTGTGTCTCCGCTGTGTGACTTTACCCAATCAATTAACATCTTTCATGCATTGTTTCCTCTTGGGTGAAAGAGAGACCGTCGTGCTGCTGATTTACTCTGAGTTTATTGTGAGGATCAGATGACAGAGTGGGTGGGTGTTTACAAAGCCTGTCTCTGTGTAACTGGGGGCCTTTGGGCCTCAGATACTGGGTGAGTGGCCTCATTAGTGCAGCTTAACGGCAGCTGCCCCCTGTTGACCTGCTTCTATGGCTGGCCATTGTTACAGGCACTTTGCACTCCTTTTCTCATTTGTTTGTTGAAAGCCTGCAGAAGAGGCTTTGTTGCCCTCACATTACAAGCTGAAGGGCTTGCCCGGCATCCTGGACATGAGACGGCAGACCTGGAGTCCTGCCCAGCCTGTCCACACCAGGGCCTCTTGCTGTCCCTGGGGAGGAAGAGGTGCCATGCTCTCCATGGGATGTGGGTCTGACTCTGGCAGCTGAGGGGGTCTACTGTAATCCTATTTTCAGGCTTAGATATCTGAGCTCCAAAAGAATCAAGTGTTTGACTGCCAGCAGGCAGGTGTCTTAACATATGAGGTATAGCCGTCAGTGAGTTTCAAAAGCAACTGTGTCTTATAAACTTTTGTTTATATGGGCTTCCCTGGTGGCTCAAATGGTTGAGAATTCGCCGGCAATACAGGAGACTTGGGTTCGATCCCTGGCCTGGGAAGGTCCTCTGCAGAAGGGAACAGCTACTCACTCCAGTATTCTTGCCTGCGGAACTCCATGGACAGGGGAGCCTGGCTACAGTCCATGGGGTCACAAGAGTCGGACACAACTGAGCGACTAACACTTTCACTTATTTGACTTCAGTGTGTTTTACTTCTGCGTCTCGTGAACCAATGGCGAATGTAAGTCAAAGTCCAATGCTGCAGACTCTTGTTTCTTCCTTTATTGCTGTGGCAGCTTTATTTCTTAAAGGATCATCGTTTCAAAAATTTTTTCAGAACAGTTCATTGGGGGCTTCTGGTGAAGTGATCTCCCCTCACTAAGAAGACGTCCTGGGCGCCTCTGATGAGTTGACTCCTTCTTGCTTTCCCTTTCCGGGGGTAAGTTCCGCTTCCCTGATCCGTGGCTGGCTCTCAAGACAGAAAGGCGAGTTTGACTTCATAAACCGACAGCTAACATTTGTTCCGCGTCCGCCGTTTACAAAGAGGGCACTGTTTACTGCGTTGTCTCGGCCCCAGAGCTGGTCACCGTCCGAGGGCTTGAGCCTGGACGTGGGAGCTGCCGTCCGGAGCACCGCGGGCTGTGGCGCCGGTCGCCCCGGGCTGGGATGACATGGGCAGAGGCACCGGTCACCGGCCTTGCTGCATGTTAGCGCCGCCCCGGCTCCCTGGCGTCCCACTCAGCTTCCCAGCCCGACCTCACTGTGGCCTCAGTGAGCGTGTGAGCGTGAGATGAGTGGAAGCTGCGGTGTGCCCTCTGCGAGTCAGAGACGTCTCATCCAGTGGCCACAGACAGCCTTCCTGGGACATCTGTGACTCTCCTAAAACCTGGGCAGAGGCGTGCACCATGCCTGCTTTTCGGAGAAGGCATCTTCCTCATTTTTCATCACATCCTCAAAGGGGTTCATGACCCCAGTAAAGTCGATAATCACTGCTTTAAAAAATGAAACAGCCCCAAATCTTAAGATTTTATTTACCATTCATAACAAGAGACAGAAATCATCAGAACGTTAGGCTTAACCTCTGTGTTACCTAAAGGGCATCAACATTTCATGTCTGAGCTAATCGAATTTGGTTTGTTAGAGCTTAAAACTAATGAGGTTGACACTTGGGTTTCAACCTTCCAATTGGCGAATTCTCAGCTCGGTCCCGGGCCCGTGGATTTCACTGAGTCCTACCAGGCATCTTGAAAATGCCTGTGATGGGTGTAAATGCCAGGGAATTACAGTGCCTCCATCGGCAATTGGCTGAAGCAGAAGGTTCCAAGATGAGCACCCAAAGTTGAGTTCTGTAATATTTTATTGGTCATATGTTATCGACAGGCCACATTGTACCTTTTCTAGAGTGATCCTTCCAATTAAATTTTTTAGAAGCAAATGATGAAATGTCATCCTTGCCCTTTTGCACGTCTTATTAATTATACTATCACTTTAAATATTTACAATGTGTTCTTTCAAATATTTGTAGATATAATAGAAAGCACATCTCTATGACAGTATATGCCTTGCTAAATTGACATTAGATATTCCCATGTTTACACACTTACATATGGTTAATGGCTCATGTTACCTAGTAAAGCTTTCTGTTTCCCGATTTAAAAGATAGTGAGAGGATGAAGTCCTGAAATGTTTATTTTTTACCCCAGGGTCTTACTGCTTCATGGAGTCACACACAAACAGGCTGAATACTTATTTTAACACCCCCAAACCCACATTGAAGCTTATTTGGGAAGCTAAGGTCTGGTCAGCTGAGGTCACACTGGACCCTCGGCGTGGCCAGTGTGGCCGCCGGTGACCTCTGTCCCAGGGAGGCGCGCGGAATGCAAGCACAGTTTCTGCAGCAGCTCAGAGCCGGGATTAACTTGGATCAGCTTGTCTTCTGCTTTTAATGAAATTCCGTCCCTTGTATTTTCATGTTTGGAGGAGAGTCCAAGTTGTCTCATGCTCACTTAGTCGGGCCGTGCCCTCGGGCCGTCACAGGCTTCCCTGACCTCTGGGGGGCGGGGGGGTGCACGAAACATTCCTGAGAAACTGGAGCGCGGAGGCCCCCAGAGAGTTTGCAGAGAAACTCACTCCAGACTCGCTGCCAGACACTCGAGTCCCCTTTCAGCACTTGCCTGACGTCTCTGTCAGCCCGTCTGGCTCCTTGGGGAGGTCAGTCTGGGGGCTGGGAGAGGTGGCCGCCCCCCGAGGCCAGGGGCCCGGACGGGCCCTTGGTCTCTGCCATCCACCGTCTGACGTCCGTCCACGGAGGCAGAAAGAGCGTGGGGAAGCAGGGCTGCAGTTTGCAAGTCATTTTCTTTTCTCTTAACCCTCAATTTAAATTAGATGAATTGGTGTTCTTATTCCTCAAATAATGAATTCACTGATTTGGGGTGGATGAAATTGAAGGGTTGTTAGCCGTGGGTTTTTTTATAGGACCTCTGCGACTAATTATTTTGTAATGATATTAGCTATCGTACAAAGGATGTTTTCTCTTGTACATTTAATGAAATTTGGGGCAAGGGGGTTTGGGAAATATGTTTCTGGTTTTAAAATTATATTCTCTTCGTGGTTTACATTTCCTATATGATGGATTTCAGAGAACGTGGGGAACAAGGGCACTCTGTACGTAAACAAGCCGAGAAGCCACATTTCTTGGCTTGTCCGTTGCTTCCCGAGAACTGAGTGCGGCTGAGTGTACACGGCAGTAACCGTGTGGGAGAGTCTGCAGCTCCTGGCTGGACGGGACACCCACGTCGGAGCCTCGGGAAAAAGTACTCCTGTCGGGGTCCTTCCCGCCCACTCCAGAGCTGGGCTGTGGCTGGGCCTTGTTTGGTCCAGGCGACGTTTATTTTTTTTTAAACTAGCGTTTAAAATTAGTCTTTTTTTTTAAACAAAGGTGTCAGTTTTTTGCATTTCAGGTGTACCACTTCTCTTATATACCCAGAAGGCCTGGCGAGACTGACTCCACATCCCATATGGGAACCACCTTCTTCCCGGAAGTGTCCTGGCCCTTCCTCAAGGGAATACGCCCTGCAGGTCACCAGGGTGCCTCCCCCACCAAGCAGTGCCCCTGAAGTCACTGGAGGTGTGAGCCTCTGGACTCTTTCTCCGGTGCTGTGTTAAAAACGAGAGATCACTCTGCCAAGTAAAGTGCTCTGTTCACTGGAAGGCCCTTCCTAGCTTTTGTATAAAAGCAGATGCTTGAATATTACAGTCACGGCTTCACTGACCTGCCTCATGCTTCTCAGGGTGCCCGGACAGACGCCCTCCTCGTAGACGGACCTGGGTCCCCCAGCAAGCCCGTCTCTCATCATCTGAAATGTCTCTTTGGACAGTTTCCTTATCACCAAAACCCAAGACAAATTTCCCAGCTCTCAAAGGTTCTGTGATCTTTACTGCTTTTCAGTTTCCAGTGATTTAAGACACAATAGCTTAGGCTTCCCAAATTACCTGCCTTCTCTGCCAAAAATATTAATCACAGAATGAAGCATGTTGCTGTGCTCACAGGGGGCTATGTCTAGCAAACATTCAGGTTCTGTGCAGAGAGCCCCTTCATAGAGACAGGATCCTTCAGATTAACACCTACCCCCATCCCCATCGTCTTCATAAAGTGAAGCAAGTCTGGCCTGTCTGACCCACGAGACGGAGGACGCGTGCCTGTGACGTCTAAAGAGCATTAATAATGAGGGGACCCAGCGGTGTCTGGGAGGACCCCTCATGTCCAGGCTGGGGAGTGGGGAAGGAGGAGGGTCCCACATTGACCCTGAGATGGGCCTCTCCGAGCCCCTTACGTCCTGGCTGAGTCCTGGGCTGGCCTGTGCCTGGAGCGGCAGGGCCCAGGCTTCCCCCGGGCCAGGGGCTGCGGTGGGTGCTGGGGGCTGGCCCAGGGTGTTCTCAGGGAACCGCTGGTCAACCCTCAGCCCCTGTGGGTTCACCCAGACGGGGCGGCCTGGGTGGACACTGGCCCCGGGTCAGGAAGTCTGCCCCTCCCTCCTTCCGCAACCGTGACCTTCTGAAGGTCACTCTCAGTGCTTTTTGTTTTTTCCATCTGTAAAATACGACAGTGAAGTTAATCTGGGGAGATTCTGCTGGTATCTCCCTGGAAACGATGGCAGATGGGCGATTCTTGGGGCTCCGCCTTGGTCCCCTTCTGGGCCTGCCTCTCTGGTTGGGGGGCTTCTCAGACCCGCCTTCCTACTCCGGGCCCACCAGTTCTGCCCCAGCTTCACCTGGTCCCCCTACCACCCCAGGAGCAGGGGTGGAGCGGGTGGGAGCTCTTTATGCCAAAATAAACAGTGAAGTTTGGAGATGTTTAGACCAAGATACTTAGGATGATGCGACAGTAAAGATGGCATCAGATTTATCGTTATACTTTACTTGGAGCTCAGCGCCCCAGAGCACACTCTCCAGTTAACTGCTCTGTCTTAAAAGGTGTGTTTTGTTTGTTTTAAGATTTCATTTCGTTGAAATCTTCTAATCATGCCTCAGTTTAGGCTCTATTTATAGGCTTTTCTACTTCATTGAGAAATGTTGGAAAAACATCTGTTTTTCTATCGACAACTGTTGACAACTCGGGAATAGTATTACATCCAGGAGCACACACAATGATGTATGAAGCCAACTCTATAGAAGAAACGAGTTCAAGTGCCTCCGAAATACCTACCTGTGTAGCACAGATTTACTTTCCTAAAATAGCAAAACTCACATATAAGACACACATAAATTACCAGGATTTTTATACTCTTTCAAAACTTACATAGCCAACCTGCCTTGGGCAAGGACTCAGAAATTCTTAAGGGTAGAAATGTTGAAACTACAGATTCCATTTCTAAAACATATCTTTAAAAAGGATGAGTGCTCTGAAGAATGCTATGTTCTCATGTCAGGACTGATAACAGGCTGCGGAATTATCACGTTGTATCTGGGAGATCATTATGGGTCACTGATCTCTTAGGCGTCAGCCCAGGAAATTTCCTCCAATAATATCAGCATTTGCCCTAGTGGTAAAATCTTGTGGATCACAAAGTGCTTTCAAGAGGTGCTCTGATGAGAGCCCTAGGCCCTGGAACGCTTGGGAAGCCTGAGCAGGAAGTCGGTGACATGTCTGACATGACGAGCCCGGAGTCTAGGACTTCTGTCCGCATTCTTCCCACCCCATAACCTTGGCCCTGGCCTTCATGGCCCGTTTCCCTGTGACACTCTCCCTGGGGGGACGCGTGATGGTGTCAGGCCTTCACGTCCCACCGTCTGCGGTGGCGGGAGGGTCTCTCCTGGGGGGCTCACCGCACAGGCTCGGCTTGTAGAACTGCCCCCACCCCCAGCCCCCGTGACAGGGTGACGGCCGATCGCGGAAGGGATCCTCGGCCCCCGTGCCCGGCACCGCTGGGAGCCAGGGTGCTGTTCTCCCTCTTCCCTTCGTCCTTGCCCTCCACCTCCAGCAGCAGGAGGAGCTGGTATCAGCGGGGGCTGGCCCTGCTTCCCCGACCCCCCGCGGGCAGCGGGGCCACCACGAAACAGGGGTCTCTGCTGAAGCAGGTGGCAGCCCCCACGGGTGACACGTTCCCAGCCAGAGGACACCACTCACACTTGGAGGCAAAGGCCCCAAACTGTGCCTTTTCTCAGGGTCCTAACCTAACACAGAGTCAGAGATGGAGGTGACTGGTACCCCGAGATGCTGCTTCTGGCCCCTGGTGTGGGTGGGCTGTGCCAGCCCGGCTGGGATGTCACGCTGCCCCACAGTATGGAGCCCTGCCCATCCATGCCCCTGCGAGAGACTATGCTCATGTCCCTTCCCGTCCCGTGTGGCCTGGAGTCGGGCACTCAGAGGTGCGGGGCGGGGGTGGGATAGTGGTCCTTGCAGCCCACCCCTGTCTCTGCCTGCCCCAGGCCGTGGGGGCTGCCCACGGGGGACGCGGATTCCTCTCCCTGCTGGGGGAGACGGGCTTCGTTGGAGGCAGTTCACTGAGGCTCCATCTCACTTGCGTGGTCTTCTCACTGGACTCTGAATGGAATTTCATCTTCTTTTCTTAACCACTGTGCCACCTGGGAAGCCCTGTTATCCTTCATCTTTGCTCTCGAGCCTTCACTGTGGCTGACGGGGGAGGGCGGGGCGGGAAGGACTCCTTGTCCACGGTCAAGTCAGGTGGCCCTGCTCAAGCAGCACCCTGGTGTGTCCCAAAGCTCTAACCTCCCATCCCCTCACCGCACTGTCTTTCCCTGTGACTTCAGGAGGAGTTTAGTAGCAACAGGAACTGGAGACTGCATGTGGTTTGAGCAGAAAGTGTGACTGTCACACTGGCCCCTTTGCCAGAGCCGTGACAGGTGACTTCATGTTCTGCCCACACACGTGCTCCTGCTTGAAAGTTCGCAGCCTCCTAATTTATGATCCAGCCTCTTACATTAATTTATGATTTTTGGAGCAAGTGTTCAATAACTGTTCTTGTATCGACAACAAAACGAAGCTATCAGCATTGCCTAGTGTGTCATAGGGAAGAAAAACATCTAGGGGATCATTTCAGATTGAGCTCTGAGGTGTTATCCGTGGCCAGCTTTCTGAACAGGCTCCGTCCGTGGTGAGCGCAGGGCGGTGAAGACACTGCACGTCTGTGCACGACCAGCGGGCTCAGTTGGTCCCGAGGACCCGGCCCGTCGCGCGTCTTCCCGGGAAGGGGCTCATCCTGGGGTAACGTCTGCCTTCCGTAAACACCACCCCAAGTGCCTCCTTCTCGGAAAGTTGGGCCGAGGGAGCCAGCACAGATTTCCACCCCCCCCCCCGCTCCCCCCGTCCCCCCAGAGCCTGGCGTCATGAGCCCTTCTGATCAATGAGAACATTGTGGAGGCTGTTGCAGGCCGATGAGCTTGCTCTTCTGCAAGCCAGCACCTGACTTGAAAGGCTGGTCTGGTCTCTGCGGCAGAGCGCGGCCTTGCTGCCGTCCTGGCTCCCGCCCCGGGCCGGCGCTCCCGACGCAGCGGCCCAGCCCGCAGTTTCGTGGTGAGTAAGCCGTGGCCGGACCCGTGCTCCTGTGAGAGGCACTGCGCCTTTCCCATCAGAACTGCCGTGCCCATACCCTGAATGGGAAGGAGGAAAGAATGGAATCGAAACCTGTCAAATAGCTGGTCAGGGGCTCTTCAAGTCTGAAGAAACTGGAAACTCAGTGGCCCTGTTCTCCTTAATAACTGGGATGAATGCACACGGTTACAGGCCGTTGAGCATCTAAGCATGAGATGATGCAGAAACGCATGACTTAGGGAAAGCTGCCCATGTGTTTCTCAGCTCATTGTTAAAGCGCGCTGTGTTTCTTGGCTTTTCTGTAATTGGTGGATATGGTTTGTATTTTAATTCATGTCAGGCTCTTAGAATTTCCTCTTGAAATTTTTGTCTTCCTCCTTGAAAACTTTGTTTCATTTTCAGGGAAATGGAATCCTTAGGTCTTACTGTTGAAATATAGTTTTGCTGTTTCTGACAATGCTTTTAATTCCACCAGTTGCAGGGTAAATAAGCCATTGTGCAGTTGGAAAAAAAAAATTGGCAGAAAGGCAGAGTATGTTAAAGACTCTTGCCTTTCATTGCTGGGGAGATTTCCCAACTGGAGTGTCTCTGTTTTATTTTGCCTCTGGCTAACATCTGAAGATCAGTCATAGAGCTCCATGCAAATACTTTCATGTATTAGAAGAACAATATTTTGACACTCATTGACACAGCAAAAAAATACAACACTAAATTAGTGTTCAGGAAGACAGTACAGACATTGTTCATTCATATGAAACAAATGTGAAAATGTTGTGTTAACAGAAAAGATGGCCCCATGGCCCTTACCGACAGCGTTTGCCGGGAGAACCACCTCTGGCGTTTCACAGGATCCCACAACTTTTTCTTCTTAATCCTGGGTCTTGAGTAGTCATTGGTACTTGTCAGACAACTGAAAATTTTAGTCACCAAGAAATAAAAGTTTGTTCTCCAGAATCTGGTAATTTGAGTTAAGCTTCTCTGAGAGGTTTATATTGATTTGATACTAGGGGGTGGGGGGGCCAATTTTAGAATTTTTAACTACTCGATATGTTAACTATCTTGAAAATATTAATTCAATTTATCAAAGACCTGATTTTCCAGATTTCATTTAAAGTTTTAAAGACTCAAAAAAAAAAAAATCTGTCACTATGTGTTTTTAAAGTAATCAAACCTTTACGAATTCTCTTGATTTTTTTTTTTTAATTTGGAGAACATTGAGGAGCTTTTTGCTTAATTTCCAACAGTGTCGTGGGGGTGTCGTCTGTGAGCTATTGGGTCTTTTTATCCAGTGGAATCTCCGCCCGTGTCACCCAGCTCCAATACTACTGTCCCAAGAAATGTTTTCTTAAATGTAACTGGCTTCCCTTCCCATCTCTTTCAATCAAGGACGTTACTGAGCCAGCATCTAGAAAATAATTATAACAGAACATTGTGCTCATGGGCAGGACCGAGTTAAGAAGAGTGACCTGACCTCCCAGAAGAACAAGGCTTACATACTGTGTGTGTTGGGGTGTTCTTATATTTAGCAACCAAAATTTAAAGACAGGATGATTAAATCTAAATCAATTCATCATAGCTTCAGGAGTACTGAGGGGAGGGTAGCTTTTACATTGAAATCCTGACTTTTGTGAATCGGAACATTGTGGGACATGTGTTTGAAGTGAGTTTCAATCAATGAAGTGGCCAGGCCGCCGTCCTCCGTTAGGAGGATTCTGTGAGTGCTGGGTGGGTCCCCGGGACGCTGGACAGGCAGGTGCTGAAGTCCTGGGGTGAAAGGGCAGACAGGTACCGGTTCTGGGGCCCATCCCGAGGTGTGCCCCCAGCTCCCCGCCCCTGCCGGCCGTCACCCCTCTGTCCTCCTGGGCGCGTGGTGCCCTCCCCATGGGTCCTGAGCCGGGTGCCCCCCCAAGCGCTGAGTACCGCCCCCCGCGTGGCCACCCCCCACCCAGGGGCTGGACCCCGTCTTCCTCACAGCCTGTGCCTGGGGGCCAGAAGCCAGCTCAGAGAGTCCAGGGGTGGGGCAGTCGTCCGGGGGTGGCGGGTTCCTCCCAGGCCTGGTCAGGGGGCCCCTTGCCGAGCCCCCCAGGCCTGTGGCTCCCCCGCCCCCGCGTCTCACCTCTGGGTCTCCCACCCCGGGCCTTGGCGCTCCTGCCCCAGGCCCCCCAGCTTCAGCCAGCTGCTGACCCCAGCACAGCCGGGCATCTGTGGTACCCAGGGCCGGCTGCGCAGGCTCTGGTTCCCTGGACACAGGTTTTTCTGAGACCCTGACTGACCCAGAATGAGTCCATCTCCATCACTGGTAAGGGCTGGGAGGAGGGGAGAGCCCGGGACAGCCCCCCGGCCGCACGCCCCTCCATCCGGAGCCGCAGGCTGTGGGCTTCCTCAGGACAGAGGGTGAGGAAGCCCCCACGCCGACGTCCCTGGAGGCTCCCTGGAGTTGACACTCGGAAGCCCTGCCCTGAACCAAATGTCGGCCTGTTGAAGCTGTTTCCTGCGTAAAGCGTGGCCGTCCCTGAGCCCGGCAGGGCGTTGACCATGTCCGCCCGCCCTCCCCGCTCTGCGCACTCGATGCCCGGCACCTCGCGGGCCCCCGTGGACGCTTGTGGACTGGCAGGTCGGGTCCCCGGCTTGGGTGCACAGAGGCCCACGCGGTGCTCCTTGCAGCCGTCTGCAGCGTTTCCACAGGAAGGCGTGTGGGAAGGGCGTGCACCTGGAGGAGGAATGAATGGGGGCCGCAGCCTCTCGTCCCGCCTCCAGCCAAACCGGCTGTGTGGCTTCAGCCGGGTCATACTGCCTCTGCTCTCAGCCGCTAACCCACCTTCTAAACGAGTTGAACTGAGTGGCGGTACCTCGAGGTCCCTTCCAGCTATGCAAGTCTGTGGCTCTGACTAACAGAACTGGGATTAAATCCACTGCACCCTCCACTCTCCCCTCCTGGAGAGGAGCTGACGCCTCCCAGATACCAGGAACCCTCACCAGCTACACAGTCAGCGTCGTCATCACGGCAAACCATTGTCCCTGAGCACTCACTCTGCCCCAGCCCCTGTTCCCGGCACTTTTCATGAAAGTGGAAAGTGAAAGTCACTCAGCCGTGTCCGACTCCTTGCGACCCCACAGGCTATACAGACCAGGGGGTTCTCCAGGCCAGAACACTGGGGTGGGCAGCCTTTCCCTCCCCCAGGGGGTTGTCCCAACCCAGGGGTCAAACCCCAGTCTCCCTCCCGCACTGCGGCGGATTCTGTACCAGCTGGGCCACAAGGGGTATTAACTAATTTATTCCTGAAAAGAGCACTCTGCAGTCAGCACCATTATTCTCATTTTTCTGAAGCACTGGAAGATTAGGGAACTTTTCAGAAGTTATCCAGTGACTCCTGGAATTGGAGTCTAACCCAGGCGGTCTGACTCCACGTCTGAGCCCCTCAACTAGCCCACGTTCTCCTTGTGGTTCCCACACTGGCAGTGGCAGCCTCCCTGGAACCTGTTCAAGTGCAGGTGTTCGGGCTGCAGGGCCAGCCTTGCGGGGGCTGGTGGAGGCCCGCAGGGCCCACGGGCCCCTTCCAGGTGACTCTGAGGCACCAGGTTTGCTTCGAGCGGCCAGCCTCCTCTCAGCGCCCAGCACCATCGCCTGTCAGGGCCCTCTGGGTCTTCACTCCCTGCTGTCCCCACAGGGCGGGTGGGGAGGGAATCACTGCCCATCTGACACTCACGACGCAAGCTTTCACGTGTCAGATGGGCATAAGCCGGGAGCTATGGGACGACTTTTCAAGGTCTGTCTTCACCGGTGAGGTCACTCCAGGAAGAGGCAGGCAGCGTGGAGGCCGAGACAAGGGCGGGACGAGAGGCCAGCCCTGCAGCTGTGCAGGGCGGGGCGGCCGCCTCCCTGGCCCTGCAGGCAGGGCAGTGGGACAGGGCACTGCCCACTGAGCCCTCCTCCCTCCTGGGACGGCTCTGCGCCCTGTGCCCGGCGGGCGCCCACCAGGCCCCGGGTCACTGAGCACGTGAGGGGTGCCTGTGTGAATTCGGGTGTGCCGTGAACACGGTAGGAGTTCCAAACCTCCCTGTGTAGAAAAACAATGTAAAGTATCTTGAGGGTATTCTATGTTGAAATGACAAGGTACTGCATTTGGGCATTCTAAGACATTGAAATCAGCTTTATGTTTTCCTTCTTTTTCAGTGTAGCTCATAGAAAATGCTGAGTTGCCTGTGTGGCTTATGTCACACTGCTGTTGGGGCAGCACAGTTTTAAGGAAACTGAACTTGTAAAGAAAGTGCAACTTGCATTTCCCTAATGCACGTACCCTGATGTGTTTATAGGGTTTAGTTACCAGTGACGATGGTTATCGGGGTGGCGAGGCTCATGCCTGCTGTTCGTGGGCGCCCAGGACCAGCCCAGAAGCTGGATTCCAGAGGTCGGAGTCAGCCGAGGGGCAGGGCCAGGTGGTCAGGACGGGCTGGAGGGGAAGGTCACAGGGAAGTCAGGGCTGGCTTCTGCAAGGGAGCCACGGGCAGCCGGGGCAGCTGGCAGGTGGCCGTGGGTGTGGAGTCACTTCCTGCCCCGAGCCCACAGCTCGTGGCGGCCCCACTGAGCCAGGAGTGGGTTTGGGTGGCTCGCAGGGCGTGCGCGTGGGAGCAGGTAATTGGAAGCACCTGGTACAGGTAGGCGGCTGGGCTCCAGGAAGCAGCACTTCTGGGAAGCGTGTTGTGACAGTCCTGGAGCCTGGGCCGGGCCGCCAAGCCCGAGTCCCGGGCTCCTGTCCCTCTCAGGGGCCTGACAGGTGTTAAGGTAAACAGCGCTGAGCCGAGACACTGCAGCAGAGGCAGCGATGCTGCTGTTAAAGACAAGCACGGAATTCCACTGCGGTGCTGAAACCACCAACTGACGCTCCGGTCATCATAGGACCGCCCTCTCACCCCAAGCCCTCTCACTGCCGACTCCTCACAGTGGTGTTTCCCCTCTGCTGGCTTTGGGCTGAGTCTGTCCACGGAGTGGGGGGACGCTCGGTCACTCCAGGCCAAGGCCTCACGAGACCGGAGGAGGCCTTGCAGCTTCTGTTTTCTGAGGAGGTGGGGGCAGTCTGGCCGGGGGGCCGTGGAGGCAGGTGCACGAGAGCGGGCACATCCAGCATGGGGACCAGGCGGTCAGGCCACTCAGCCCGCAGCCCGGGAGCAGGGCGGAGCCACCGCCCCACGTCCCCCTGATGCTGGACTCCGAGTCCCTAGCAGTAAGAAGGATCAAGCCCGAGTGTGGGTGTGGCTTGGTAAGCAGCTCGGGACCAGGGTGACATCGTTTCTGCATCTTCTGTTGTGGCTCTTTCCTACACTGTTTACATGGTCACATAGCCTGACGCACCCACTCCGAGTATGCTGTGCTGGGCATGCACATCTGGCTGTAGAATTTTCTCAGCTTAGTCTTCAGTCCTAAAAGCCCCACAGAATGATATTACGTATGGTTCAGTTCAGTTCAGTTCAGTTCAGTTCAGTGGCTCAGTCGAATCCAACTCTTTGCAACCCCATGGACTGCAGCACGTCAGGCCTCCCTGTCCATCACCAACTCCCGGAGTTTATTCAAACTCATGTCCATTGAGTCAGTGATGCCATCCAACCATCTCATCCTCTGTCGTCCCCTTCTCCTCCCACCTTCAATCTTTCCCAGCATCAGGGTCTTTTCCAATGAGTCAGTTCTTCGAATCAGGTGGCTAGGGTACTCGAGTTTCAGCTTCGGCACCAGTTCTTTCAATGAATATTCAGGACTGATTTCCTTTAAGATGGACTGGTTGGATCTCCTTGCAGTCCAACGGATTCTCAAGAGTCTTCTCCAACACCACAGGTCAAAAGCATCAATTCTTCTGCACTCAGCTTTCTTTATAGTCCAACTCTCACATCCATACATGACTACTGGAAAAACCTTAGCTTTAACTAGATGTACCTTTGTTGGCAAAGTAATGTCTCTGCTTTTTAATATGCTGTCTACGTTGGTCATAGCTTTTCTTCCAAGGAGTAAGCGTCTTTGAATTTCATGGCTGAAATCACCATCTGCCGTGATTTTGGAGACCAGAAAAATAAAGTCTCTCACTGTTTCCTTTGTTTCCCCATCTATTTGCCATGAAGTGATAGGACTGGACGCCATGATCTTCATTTTTTTTTGAAAGTTGAGCTTTAAGCCAACTTTTTCACTCTCCTCGTTTAGTTTCATCAAGAGGCTCTTTAGTTCCACTTTGCTGTCTGCCATAAGGGTTACGGAGGGTTAGAGAACGTCTATATCAATGCCCACTATTTCCTGCCAGAGACACCAGGTTCCCTGTTGGGCCGGGCCTTCTGGCCGAGGGTGCAGACTGATCACGGTCGGGCTGCCCGGTGGCCACGCTCCCCAGCCCAGAGCTGGGAAGAGAGGGCAGGTGTGCCCCTGGCAGGGAGCGTGGTGGTTCTGGAGAGAGTGTCTGGGGAGAACCTTGATGGGGGCAGCAGGCCCACCCTGCGCTTTTCTTCTCTTCCTCATGCAGTTCTGCAGCAAATAATAATAGTGGGAGAGGGGAGTGGCCTGGGGATGGGGTCGCAGGGGAGCACGAGGACACAACAGGCAGGCGGGTGTGCACGCTGACTGCAGGCAGCAGCCTCAGGAAAATACCAGGATTCAGAGAAACTGCAGGCAGCAGCGTCAGGAAAATACCGGGATTCAGAGGAGCTGCAGGCAGCAGCGTCAGAGGAAAATACCGGGATTCAGAGGAGCTGCAGGCAGCAGCGTCAGAGGAAAATACCGGGATTCAGAGGAGCCACAGGCAGCAGCGTCCGGTTCTGTTTGCTCGAAGCCAGGGTGGACGGATAAGCGTCCATGGGCCAGTTGCCGGTGCTGTAGCATTGCCGACACGCAGATCTGTCCCTGAGCTGTCGGCGCCGCTCAGAGCTCGGGCTGCGGAGCTGAGTGGCTGTGGTGCAGCCTGTGGCTCAGAAACCTCAAGTGTTTACTCTCTGGCCCTTTAAGGAAATGTTTGCAGATTCCACACTTCAAGGAAATAAATGAATTAAAATAAATGAAAGAGCTAAGCTTGAAGTAGTCAGGAGCAACATGGACAAGAGAGAAAATCATGCAAGACATTGAAGCCACATTAGAAAGAAAATGTTAAGTAAATGTTATTAGAAACAATCAGAGGAACAAGCAAAAGAAAATCAGATAAAAACATATGGAAAAGAACAAGCGTGAGTGTGACCAGGCAGCGTGTAACAGACCTGAACACAGAGGAGAGATGTACCACGTGCATAATCGGTGTGCCTGGGAAAACAGAGATGAAATATCCTCGGAGACCAGTGGAGAAATGGGTATTACCGGGCTCTGCGTGTGCAGAGAGCAGACAGTGTTCCAGAAAAATGGGGTCAGTGTGACTCCCGGAGCACTTGGGTGACCAGGCTGCCATTCCCCCGCCTCCGACCTTGCAGGCCCGTGGGTGTGGCTGGAACAAAGGCCAGGGCAGGGCAGGCGCTGGCCCGGCCCATTTCAGAGCGTCGGTACAAGTGCTGAAAGACACGTTCATAGCGAGAGCTAGAGGGCCTTCTAAGTTTGTTCCATTATTTGTGGTGTTTTTTAAAATTTATGATCTAATGATTTTTTTCCTGTCTAGTAAGTTTGTATCTTTAAAATGTCTAAAAGGCCCTTAATCAAAGGACTCCACAAGCCTCAGTCTTTTTGCCCATGAAGAAATTACTAGACTGAGGTTTTGATTTTATGCCGAATGATTCTCCCAATATAGTTGTGTTTGTAAGTTGTATTTGTTCCCCAACTATGTCAGAGTAAGCAGTGCTCCCCGGCCCTGGGTAGCCCTCCAATCTCCCCCTGTGGGTCCCACAGACGTAAGACCCAGCCTCATGCAGGACTCCTCGAGGTCCTGATTCAAGCTAAGAACACCAGGCTGTTGTCATGGAGACAGCTACTGAATGAGCTTAAAGAAAATGCTTGTGACTGGTCCCACACTTAGAACCCTTTCTGGGGAGTTTTGTCTCCATTTGTTCAAACGCCTCTGGTTTTTATTAGAAATGGTACGTGGACTTTCTCCCCTATTTTATGGATATGTGTGTATGCATATGTATACATGCATGTGTATGTGTGGGTATGTGTGTATGTCTAGACCATTTCCATGACGGTAGCCCATGCAGCACCCGACTCAAGTGCAGGGCTGAAATGGCAGCAGTCCACTGGACATAGTTAAACATAACCTTGATTAACACATCTCGTTATTCACGGATGACAGCTCGGTTAATAAGTGTCTGTGCTTGGATGCCGAGCCGGAGGCTAACGGCGAGGTGGGCGCAGTCGTCGATCCCAGGTTTTGAAGACAAACACACCCGCTGCTCTGGAGGGCATGTGCGGAATTGGGCCGCCGGCCAGCTGTGAGACGCACTCTGGCTGTTCTCCTCCACTGGTCCTGCTGGGAGCCGCCGAGCCCCGCGCCCAGGGAGGCGGGGGCTCCTCTGCGGGACTTCCGCGTCCGTGACCTGAATCGTCCACAAGCAGGCATGGGAGAGGAGGGCTTTAGGGTTTTTTTTTCTTTGAAAACTTTTTAAATCAAAGTTTTATTTTGACTTCTCTAATCAGATTTGTAAAACAGCTAGGTTAATTGTATGGTTACAGGAAAACACACATCCAAATGGAGTGAATATCTATAACATCTAGACCTGGCTCTCCGATGTCAGTGATGTGGGTCAGGCCTCCAGGACTCCATGTGCCTTAAAAGCGAGACGAATGTGAGACACGGCTGGACAACGGCAGGGTCCGTTTGCCGTCAAGAGACGGTTCTCTGCGGAGGAGTTTCAAGCCTTGGTGCATCCCTGCACTGGCTGTCTTTCCTCCCCGTGGAATGGGTGAAAAAATGAGAAGCAGGCAAAGTTTTCCTTTGCCCTGTGACCAGGTCCGGGCGGAGGTGATGCGTGTGTGAGGACGTGGGTACGTCTGTCGTATCCACACGGGGCCCCTCGTGCCTGGAGAGATGGGGCTGGACCCTGACGTCTGAAGCCTGTGTTCTCTGGAGCGTTTCTGGACGGAAGCCATAGCCGGATCATGGGTCACTCCTTCTGCCCGTGATCAGGAAGGCGTGTGGAGGTGGACCCTGCTCGGCCAGGTCGCCCGTCCGGGGAGAAGTGGACCAGATTAGCCTGCCCAGCTGTGTGCGGAGGCGGGGCCGTCGCTTCCCACTCAGGGGCCCTCGAGCCGAGCTGGGCAAGCCTCCCCGCGGGCCGCCCACCGTGGATGGGGGCAGAGCGCTGGCCGCAGCCACTCCAGATACGAGCTCGCTCGCCTTCCGACCTGGGTATCACCCGGCCTCCATCACTAGCAAAGACCATCCATTATACTCAGTGGAAATTCAGACAAAGCCCTTTCCCTCTGTTAAGACCAGTAAACTGCTCAGGAACAACAAATAAATCTGGAGTTGTATATCCTTTCCCTTCCCCTTCCCAGACTACAGTCTGGGACAGTATGAACCTTACAGGAAATGCCTAGAAGTTGGCGGGTCAGAGGCCATGGACGGTCTGATGGAAAAGAAGGGGCAGATTCTTGGTGTTCGGTCCAGCAAGAGGGAGAGGCTCCTAGCGACCCCAGGTTCCCGGCAGGGACTAACCCACCTCAGGAGCTGGTACTGGTGCTTCACATGATCTAGCCGCAGCCAGTCACCGTGTTCTCTCCTTTTATTTTTAGCTGTCCTTACTTTCTTTCACATGATTCAAAATATGATTTTTTTTAAACCATTTGAGCACAACATAGTGTTCAAAAGAAATAAAATAAGCTGAGCAGTCCTGAAAGACCCATTTGAAATGTTATTTTTAGAATGGAAATTTGAGTAAAACACACTTAAGTATATACACTAATCCCTCAGAAAAACGTTCAAATAGAAATTATAGCCAGAAGCATAATTTGATTTTTCCTAAAAACTTTGAAAGTATTTTGAAGAAAGCCACAACATGTGTGTGCATGTGTGTGTGTGTGCGCGTTTGTGTGTGTGCGCACGCTTACGTGCGTGTGTGCCCTGGCGCTTGTGTGTTTGGGGGGCGTGTGCAGCCACCTCCCGATGAAGCCAGTGTGCTGGGCCATGGCCCCAGAGAGGCCCGGGAGACCCCTGCGTCAGGGTGCAGAGAGAGGGCTCCCAGGAGGAGGGGGGCAGGCTGGCAGGGAGGCTCCTGCGGGACGGACACCAGGAGGCCCCGGCCTCCGCGGGTGCCCACAAGCGGGGCGCCCCCCAGGAGCGGACAGCCAGGGTGTGGGGCCGCGGTCCGACACTGCGGGGGCCACCGGAGCTCAGGCATCCAGGCCAGGAGCACCATCGCGATGAAGAGAAGAGCTTGTGTTCTGTGCCTTTTAAAAACCAGTCAAGCTTTATTATTAATATAACTCATGTAAAATTTTTGAAGTGTTACAACTGGGACTTCCCTCCTGCTCCAGTGGCTCTGAGCTCCTAATGCAGGGGGCTCAGATTCCATCCTTGGTCAGGAAAGGAGACCCCACATGTCTCAAATAAGACACAGTGTAGCCAAATAGATGAAAATAAGATTTTAAAAAGTCTTGCAGCCGAGTTCATTAACTATAGTACAACATGAAACCGCCGGTCTTCTGCAGTCTGTGACCGTGAACAGAGCCTTCTCCTGCAGGACGACCTCATCCGGCGCCTCACTGCGTCCCTGACCTGGGCTGTCGCCATTGCCCCGCGTTCCGCCACACGAGCCGCAGCGCCATGGTGTGTGACATGACCAAAAGTCGCATCTGGTCTAGGACAAAAATACGATTGAAGATGGTCCGGAAGTAAACCCAAAATGCAGAATAGTCTCAAGAAAAAGTTTCGAGTACAGGAGAAATAAGCATGGTTGTATTGTTTTAGGAGGCTGCCGGAAGTTGAGATGGATAAAGAAGAACTAAAGTCTGTTGACTGCATTTTCTAAAAGAAAATAAGCTGCTCCGTTGACCTCAGAAATGTATTTTTCAGCTTATCTAATAGCAGCCAGGGAGACACCAACCAACAGTTTTCTTTAAATGTGAAAGCAAAAGTTCAGTGTAGCAGATAGTGGGGACTGTGTTCTAAGGGGGTGCCTATTGCTTTTACCTGTTTTATTTAAAATGGGGGTGCCAGGGCACTCAGGGCCGATGCACTGGACAACTCAGAGGGTTGGGATGGGGAGGGAGTTGGAGGGGTTCAGGATGGGGACACATGTACACCCGTGTCTGATTCATGTCAATGTATGGCACAACCCACAATATTGTATAGTAGTTAGCCTCCAATTAAAATAAATAAGTGAATTTTTTAAGAAAACATAGATGCAAGTGATGAAAAAATTGATTAAAAAAATGTATTGCGGTGTGGTTGGTTTCCGTTTTATTAGATTCAGGTATGCAGCAAGGTGGTTCAGGTGCGCACGCACCTCTGTGTGTGTGTGTGTGTGTGCGCGCCCAGGCTCCCCTGGGGCTCAGTGTGAGGGCCCCTGCCGAGCTGGGGATGCGCCTGGCGCCCTGCCGTCCCAGGGGCAGGGGGCAGCTCTCACCCGCTCCGCCTCTCCCCCCAGGCCATGTGGCTCATGCTGCAGAAGGACGTGCCTGAGGACTTCGTCATCGCCACGGGGGAGGTCCACAGCGTGCGGGAGTTCGTGGAGAAGTCCTTTCTGCACATCGGGAAGACCATCGTGTGAGTGCACCCCACAGGCATCCGCCAGGCACGGCTGCCCTTCCGTCTGCCTGGGGTCTGCCTCTCCCTCTGCCCTTCTAGAGCAGGAAGCAGGCGCTTCGTCCTGCTGGCGGTCCCTGTCCCATGCAGGTCACCAGCCAAGCTCAGTCTTTCGAAGTTTATCTTTTTAATTTTTAAATGTTTTTAAGCTCTTTAACTTTTAACTTCAAATTTTGTATCATGGTTTATACATGCTTTACTGGGATTTTACTGTCACTAATGCCTCTGAACAGTTCAATGTGAGAACGTTATACAATCTCTGTTTGCAATACTTTCACTATATATTTTAAATTTTTGAAACCACAAAAATTTACAGGACAATTTCAAATCTATTACCAGCAAAATCCTTTTCTCTGAAGCACTGAGAGTGGGCTGCTGACCTGAGGCCCCATCCCCGTGGACCTCATCTGTTCTCCCCATGAACAGTGACGCTGTCAAACGTGGGCTCAGGATGGCCAGGAGATCCCACTGGTACGTGAGCAGCGTCCAGTCCATGGCTCTCACTGAGATCCTTAGCTCAGCCAGCACTACCCCTTATACCAGAACAATCCACCCATTTTATCCACTTGTTGATTACACAAGTTTTGAAGTCAAATTTTTTTGGAAGGTTTGGGGCAGTCCGTGACTATAGACGGAAGACTTTTCTGGTGGCCGTCTTATTGAGGTAGGATGTGCATGACATGCATGCATGCTTAGTCTCTCAGTCCTGTCTGACTCTGGGACCCCATGGACTGTGGCCCCCCCAGCCTCCTCTGTTCATGGGATTCTCCAGGCAAGAACACTGGAGTGGGTAGCCATGCCCTTCTCCAGGGGATCTTCCCAACCCAGGGGTCGAACCCATGTTTCTTATATCTCTTGCATTGGCAGGTGTGTTCTTTGCCACTAGCACCATCTGGGAAACCCATAAATAGCATAAAGTTTACCATTCTCATCATTTTGGGGCATGCCAGTTAGCGGCATTAAGTACATTCACAGTTGATGCAACCAACAGCACCACCCACAGAACCCTTTCATCTCCCCAAGCTGAAACTGTCTCCATTAAACACTAGCTCTCCACCCGTCCCCCAGCCCCAGCAATGGAAATTCTGCTTTCAGTCTCTGAGTTGGATGACCTCTGAGTTCCTGCTAAACACGATGACCCCAGGGACCTCGTGTAAGTCGAACGGCACAGTTTCTTTCCTTCTGTGATGGGCTCAGCTCACTGAACTTGATGTCCTCAAGGTCCGTCCCTGTTGTAACTTGCGTCAGCATGTCACTCCTTTTTAAGGCTGAGTAATATTCCACTGTGCCGTTGGACCACGTGTTGCTTACCTATCTGTTGTAACTGCTGGGTTGCTCCTCTTCAGCTATTGTGAGCTGTGCTGCTGTGAGCACACGTATACAAGTATCTGAGTCCCTGCTTTCAGTTCTTTGGGGGTAAAAGCCTAAAGAGTGGAATTTCTGGGTCTTATGGTAACTCTGTGTTTAACTTCTTGAGGATCTGCAAAACATTTTCCCAAGGTTCAGTTTTAAAATATAAGAAAGGACTTCTAACTATGATGGAATAACAGAAATTAGGTTAAACCTCTACCTTGAAAAACTAGGAAGCTGTATGAAATTTATAGAACAACTTTGGACAGCAGGCAGTGCAGGACCGTGGGCCCTGGTAGGAAAGGAACCAGCGAGGTGAGCCCTGCAATGACCCGGCCTCCTGGAGGCCTCCACCGGGGAGGGAGGAAGAGGCGCTCCTACAGAGAAGATGGAGGTCAGAGCTCAGAGTCTGGGGCTGGGATGGTGTGGATGAGTTCTGGAAAGGTGTGCCCTACAAAGAAAAGGAGCTCCGGAAATGTGCGTCAGGATCCCCCTGAGTTCCTGCTAGACACGAGGAAACGCCACAGGCTTGGATAGGAAACTGCCTGGCGGTGGAACCGAAGGCTTCTCGGGGCGTTCCCGAGGCCGGGAGGCTCATGAGCCGCAGCCGTCACCGGGCAGCCTCGGCTGTCACCCAGAAGGTCCAGGCTCGGAGGTGGGGTGCCCGGAGTGGGGCGACCCTGAGTAGAGGCCCCTCTAGGGCCAGGCCGGCAGAGCTGACGCACAGACTTCAAGGGCTCACAAGCCACTGAGCCTCCGACCGCTGCGAAGCCTGCGCTCTTCAAAGGGAGACAGTGAAATCTAGACCCAGAAACAGACTTCCTTGGCGTTCAGCGTTCAACCAAAAATCAGCAGGGGTGTCACGAAGTGGGAAATGACCTAAAACCAAGGGGAAGATCCACCAACGGAAACAGACTGAGGAATTATAAAGGCAGTGGTATGAGCTCAGAGGAAGGTGAAGTAGCCTCGACTTTAACTGCCAAGTATATTAAGAAGCACATGGGGAGGGTGAGGAGAGATGAAGAAATATATGTGTTTTTTTTAAGAGCCAAATGCAACCTTTAGAGATGAAAAATCAAGTATCTGAAATGAGATCTCACTGTTGGCATTGAGAACAGATTAGACACTGTAGGAGAAAAGCTAGTAAACCTGTACATATTGTGCTAGAAATAATTCAGAATGAAGCACAGGAAGGAAAAGACTGAAGGGAAAAAAACTGAGTTTGATTTGATTAACTTGTGAGACAAAATCAATCAATCTAACATGTATATAATCAGAGTCTTGGGGAAAAAGGGGAGACGGCACAGGACAAGAATTAAATAAAAGCCCCAAGTTTCCCAAATTACTGAAAATACATGCTAAAGAGAAAACTTTAAAAGTAGAATTATGTAGAGGGGAACAAAAATAAGAAAGCTTTGTTATCAGAAACTATGCAAGGCAAGAAGGCCTTGTAGCAGCATCCTTAAATTGCAGGAAGAGACCTCAGCCTCGAGTTCTGTGCCCGTGGGAACCACTCGGAAATGGAAGGGCGTTAAAGACTTTGCAGACAGGCAGAGGTTGGGCGGGTTTGCCCCCAGCAAACATTTAGATGGAGGGAAGACAGAAGAATGAAGAATAGGAGAAGCAGCCAAAATGTGGGGAAATAAAAGTTTTCTCCCTCATTTTAAAATTTCTTTGAAAAGTAACTGACTGTTGAAAGTACAAATAATAGCAGTACATTTGTGGTTTCTGATACATATATAAATAAACTGTACAATAGCAGTAGCTCTGAGAGTGGGGACAGGATGGGAGCATTGCATCATTACATTGTTGTAAGATTCTGACACCAGATGGGAATTGGCATGAAATTATTTGAAGACAGACTGCAATTAGTTAAAGTATGTGCTGCACATTCTGGAGAAACTACTAAAACAAAACAAAATGAAAAATAGCCACAAGCCAATACTGGAGTCAAAACGCAATCCTAAAAGCTACTCATCTAAAAGAAGCTGGAAAAGAGGGAGTGAGAACAAATAGCAGATGGGGCTAACGGAAAACAAATACTAACTATACTGATAATTACATCCACTGTAAATGCCCTAAATACTCTAATCAAAAGAGCGATAAAGTTGGACTTGATAAAAGAGCAATATGCTACTGACACGAGACACATTTTATACATAAACACATAGATAGTCTAAGAGTAAAAAGATAAAAAAATAAAACATCCAAATACTACCCATAAAGAAACTGGAGTGGCTGTATTTATATGGGATGAAATAGACTTCATTTACTTAGAAGGAAGAAAGAGTCCTTTTGTATTTTAAAGGGGTTGATTCTTCATAAAGACATAATAATTTTAAATGTGTATACACTGAGTTATAGATACTTCAGAATACTGACAGAATTGATAGGAAAAAAAGACAAACTTTATGTTTGTGCACTTCAGCACTCCTTCCTTTGTGACTGCAGTACTAGTGGACAGAAAGTCTTTGCAGATACAGAAGTAAACTTACTTGACCTAACTGGCATTTCTAGAGCTTACCACCTGGCACACTTCTCGATAACTCGCGGGTCAAAAGAAGAAATCACAAGGGAAATTAGAATATATTTTGAATTAAATGAAAATGAAAGCAGCATACCAAAATTTGTGGGGTCCTGCCAAAGCAGCGCTTAGAGAGAAGTGTGGCTGTGGACACCGATGTTAAGCGTAAGAAAGAGCCCAAACCAGCTATCCAAGCTTCCATCTTAAGAAGCTTGACAAAGAAGAGCACGTTAAACCCAGTGCAAGCAGAAGGAAGGAAACGACAAAGATAAAAACAGAGATAAATGAAGTAGAAAACAGGAAAATAATGGAGAGAATCATACAACCGAAACGTGGATAAACCTCTACCCAGGAAAAAAAGAGATGACAGGAATTACACATAGTAGAAATAAAAGAGCCATCATCTCCACAAGTCCTGCAGACACTGACAGAATCGGTAAGGAAATACTCTGAACAAATTGTTGCCGATGACTTTTTCAGATTAGAGAAAATGGGCAAATTACATGAAAGACACAAATTGCCAAACCTGATTCAAAAAATCTATAAATTTTAGTAATTCTATGTGTATTTAAAAACCTGAATTTTTAACGTTTAAGGAAGAAAACATTCCCTTCCTTCCTAACACTCACTTAGAAGAGAGAACACTTCCTAACTCATTTGATGAGGCCAACATTACCCTGATGCTAAAAATAAAAATGTTACATGAAAAGAAAGATACTGACTAGTATTTCCAGTGAGCATAGAAACAAAAAATAGTAACAAGATATTAACAAATTTAAGTTATCCATATATAAAAAGCTGGTGCACCACGGCAGAGTGGGGTTTATTCTAGGAATGCAAGGTTGGTTTAACATTTGAAAATTAATGTAATTCACCATATTAAGAAAACAAAAGAGAAGCTGTATTTTTTTTTTCAATAGAGCAAGAAAAGACATTTGATAAAATTTAACAACTATTACTTTAAAAAATTAATTTCAACACACTAGAATTTGAAGGAAATTTCCTCAAGCTGATAAATGGTCTTTGAGAAAAACCGACAGTTAACATCATAGTTAATGTGGAGATACTGAATGCTTTTCTTCTAAAA